ATCGGGGAGCAGACGGACCTGCGAGTGCGAGAGCATCATCTCGGTCTCGTCGATGGTCGAGTTGCCCGGCGTTTGGACGCCGCTCTCACTGCGCGGCGGCCCCATCGCGCAATCCGGTCGGCCGCAGCCGGAGGCGCGCCGGGGAGGGCAGCGGCTCGACAGCCACTCGTGCCCTCACGCGGAAGGGGGCGCGCAGGTGGCGACGAGGCACCGGCGTCGGCGTGGAGTCGATGACGGCGGCGATGGCGACGGCGATGGCGACGGCGATGGCGACGGCGCAAGCTGGGCGAAAGGGATCACCACCGCAGAAGAGGGACACGGTAGGGGACACGATCCATGGGTTCACCGCAACCCATCGCCGTATGAATCCTAGGTCTGCGCGGGTCGCCGCGTCATGTCACGCGCAAGACGGCGGAGCGGTGTTGCTGAGGATGGATCGGCGTGAATCAGGATGAGATCGGAGCCGGCACGTCCGCAGATCCGGAGCGACCCGAAACGTTCGGGGGCATTCGGAGAATTCGGCGGCATCCACGCATCTACGCGAGTCGCCCTGCGCGCGAGAGCCGAGCCGCGGCCGGTCGTCAGGCGGAGGCGGCCCGGCCCCTGTCGCCAGCGCCGCGCCGTCCCTCGTGCCGACGGTGAAGCGGCCCTGGACGCTCCATACCCGCCGCTTTTCTGCCGCCGATCGTTGCGACGGTCCGATACCCCGTGGGCCACGTGCCGGCCGCGCAGGCCACGTGCCGGCCGCGCCTTCCGCTGCGCTCGCTCACGGGCCGACGAGCGGCCCACCCCCGGGCGATCGCTGCCGCGGCCGGCGCTCCGCGATTGACCGGTCCACCGCCGTCCGTCGCCGCCGGACCCGTGCCCCGACCCCACGCCGGTCGCGCCGCCACCACGGAACGCCACATCCGCGCTGAGCCACGCCCGTCGCGCGCTTGCGCCACATCAACCGGCGTCTGCGCCACAGGATCGGAGTTCGCCGTCCTGGCGCCGCATGTGGGTCGGCGCGGCTCCGCTCACACCCGCGGCCCACCGCGAGTCACCGCTCCGTGGCACGGACCGTCCCAGGACTCCGAAACAACCTCATCATGGGCCGATCAGACCGCCGCGGCGGACACGTGGACTGCTGCCCGTCTTCAAAGGGCATCGCTCCCTCCTTCGCTGGGCTTGGACTTCGCTGCCGCTTCGCTGCCGCTCCGACGATCCATCTCCCTCGGATCCCACGCCGCTACCACCTGCTTGCACCCCTTCCTCTCGAACCCGCTCATCGATTGGATTCCCTCACGCGCACCGAGACACCCGCCGTTGCCTTGGGTGCCTCGTCCTTCCCTCCCCTCGGTCCTTCTGTCTGGCGAGCGCCTCACGCGCCCTCGCTATCGCTGTCACTGTGACGGTGGTATTCCATCCTCGCCCTTGCTTTTGCTTTTGCGTTCATCGTGCGCCACGATGGGATACCATCCCACCGTGAAGCGGCCACTGCGCCCGGCGGCGCCCGGCGGTCATGCCCACGCATCCCGCGGCGGCCGGGGAGGCCGCCCAAGGTCCAGCGGCCTCGCGATCCCGGCGTCCTTGCTCCGCGAGACGGGCGTCGACCCGGACGCCGCCGCCGCTGATGGCGCCCTGCCTCGCAACAGCAAGCAGGCACGCCAGGCACGCCGCAAGGCCGCTCACACCGCCGCCGCCGCCGCCGCCGCCGCCGCTGCGCCGTCGTCGTTGTCGGCCTCCACACCCGCCCCGGCGTCGTCACGCAAGCGCAAGGCCGAAACGGGGCCCGGCGGCATTCCCGCGAACCACCCGAATGCCAAGTTTTTTGCGCATCTGGCGCGGCAGGGCCTGATCCCCGATGCGTCCGGCACGGTCCGCGATGCGGCGGCAGCGGATCTGCCCTCGCGGGACGAACTGCTGGCTGAGGAGCGGTACTACCGCAAGATGCTGGGCCTGCGGCCGAAGAGCAAGGCCACGAAGCTGATGGGGGGCTCAGGCCTCGAGAACGACGCGATGGCCGATATTACTGAAGGCCTGGACGATCTAGTCGACGAGCTCGAGTCTGCCCAGAAAACCAAAAAACCGGCGTCGGGCAGCGACGACGATGATGAATCGGACGGCGGCGCGAGCGATGCGTCGCTCTCTCACTCGGATGCGGCGGACGTCGACGCGGAAGAGGACGACGAGGACAGCGTGTCCGGCGAGGACGGTCTGGATGATCTGCTCAATGGCTTTGATGACGCCGACAACGGTCTTAGCCACGACGACGAGGACGAGGATGACGGCTCTGCTGTGTCCTCATCCACCGTGGGCGACGACCGCGTCGAAAAAGACGCCGCGGACACGGACGCCGAGGTCGATCCGGTTGCGGCCCTCTTTGGTGGCAAAGCCCCATCCGACCGTTCCGCCAAGTACGTTCCCCCTTCCGCTCGCCGGCAGCAGCAGGATGCCGAGTCGGCCCACGACGCCTCCGCCTCCGACGGCGTTGTGGCGGCGGTGGAGGACTTGCGCCCGGTCGAGACAGCCCAGAGCAAAGCGATCCGAAAGGCGGTCCGCGCCAACCTCAACAAGCTTGGCGACAGCAACATGGCGACGCTCGCGACCGCGCTGCGCGGCGTGTACGAGACGTACCCGCGCGCCGAGGTGCACCGGGCCTTCCTCGATACCCTCTTCGCATTCATTGTCGAGCCGGCCGTGCCGCACATGTCGCTCATGCTGACCTGGGCGGCCTTTGTCAAGGCCGTGAGCTTCGAGGTCGGCCCCGAGCTTGCGACGATGGCGATCGAGGAGTCCGTCGAGCGCCTCGAGGCCGAGTGTGACGACTACCGTCGCCAGAGCCGCGGGGCTGCGGCACGGCCGTCCAGCAAAGCGGGTGGCGTCGTCCTCGATGCCGAAGAAGCCAACCGCAAGCGATACCACAACTATCTCCTCTTCACGATCGCCCTCTATCGCTTTGGCTTGGTTCGCGGCCCGCTCGTGCAAGACTTGGCCCTCGCAGCGCTGCAGCGCGACGACCATGTGGCCCAGGATGACGAGACCGACTACGGCGTCGCGCTGCATATCCTGCGGGAGGCCGGCCCCGCGCTGCGCAACGAAGATAAGGCTGCGTCCGCCGCCTTTTTCGGCGCCGTGGCCGACGCGGTCTCGGTGCGCGAGGCCGCATACCGGTCGCTGTCTGGCACCGACACCTCGGCCCCGCCGCGCTCCTCCCGCGCCCGCTTTTTGGCCGACGCGATCGATGCGGCCGCCACGCAGCTCGCTCAGCCCCAGCACCGCCGCAAGGGCCGCGACGAGGGCGCCGACCTCGGCAACGCGGCCGCTGGCAGCAACGCCCTCCAGTTCCAGGCGCTCGAACGGTACCTGGTGCATGCCAGCTCGCAGATCGCGTCCAAATTGGTCGAGCCGCTCAGCATCCGCCTCGATGATCTTCGCCACGCCGCGACGCGCGGCCGGTGGTGGCGCGTGGGCGGCGCGTGGGGCGGCCGCGGCCAGCACGACCAGCAGGGTCAGGCCACGATGGCGACGGTGCCCACGCACGGGGGCAAGACGGTCGAGCACGGCGCGGTCCGTGTCCACGAATCGGAGGCCGGCCGCGTGCTCGTGGACAAAGACGGCGAGTTTGGCCCGGTCGTGGATCTGATGGATCTGGCCTCGCGCCAGCGCTTGACGAGCAGTGTCAAAAAGGACATCTTCGTCATTATCATGGGATCCGAAGACGTGGCGGAGGCCCGCGAGCGCCTCGACCGTCTCCGTCTGAAGAGCGCGCAGCAGCGCGAAGTGATGCGGGTCTTGGTCCACTGCTGCCTCCAGGAGCAGTCGTACAACCCGTACTACGGGTTCCTGGCCTCGAAGCTCGCCCGCCACGACCGAGGCCACCAGCTGACGCTGCAGTACGTCGCCTGGGAAGAATGCCGCAAGTGGCGCGAGCTCGCGGGGCCGGAGGTCTCGCTATCTCAGGCCGGCAAACATGTCACCAAGGCGGTCCACCGCCAGCAACTCACCCGTGTGGCGCAGCTCGCCGAACTGTATGCCCAGCTGCTCGTGAAAGTCGCGCTCCCCATTACTTTTCTCAAGGGCATCGACTTCTTGCTCCTCGGCTTGTATGAGAAACTCTTCATCCAAGTGCTCCTCTGCCAAGCCAGCGTTAAGTGTGCCACATCCGCTTCAGCAGCAGCCGGGAAGGCGGCGCCCGGGAAGTCGGCAGGCAGCTCCGCCCTCTCGAGCATGAAGAAGGTGTTTGGTAGGTTGAGCGAAAAGCCACACCAGGCACTGCTTCTGGGTATCACGCTCTTTTTGGATCAGCATATTATGGAGCCGCTCAGTCAGCGCAAGCCGGTAGTTGGTCTGGCCGAAGCTGATGTCCCTGCGATCAAGCTCGCTGTCGGATACCTTAAAAGTTTGTAAATGCTATATACAGGAATTCTAGTACAGAATATTATATACAGACGACCTAACTCGAACACCATCCCTCGGATCCTCGGAGGGTCCCTCCAAGAGTCAGACCGTATTAGGTTTAGCACCGGACGCGCTTGCGGACCATAAGCTGCAAGGGGCTCTGCCCGGAGACGCAGCATAGCGCAGCAGCTCTGACGGGCGAGTCCAGGCAACGTCGGATGTTCAAGGTGGCGTTCAGGTCGCGGTTCACACGCGGTGCCATTCCTGGAATCGCACCACAGCAAACCTCTGATTACGGTCTTCATGCGCCGGCTTTTTTGGATGAGATTCGTCTTTGCAAGTATCTGGCTGGTGCGGAACTCGTCGACGGTGCGGAGACGCTGGGCTCACGCCTTGTACACGCCCTGATTGGGCTGCAACGCTCAGGTAGGCGCCAAGATGTCGCATAACTGGCTGCGGTCCGTTGGATTCGACAATTTCACCGCCCAGAGACGACGGATAGGCCAGAGCGCGAAATCCTTATCGTAGGAACTATACAACATCCAATGATAACCCGTGGAAAATCTTTCAACTACAAAGCATCATCGCCAAGTAGCAAATCAGTAAAATATGACCATAAAAGGTCCCACGGAGATTCGAACTCCGGTCATGAGATTCAGAGTCTCATGTGATAACCAACTACACTATGGGACCAATTTTTGTTTTGTTGGACGGCCACTTCTGGTCGCTGGTTTGCATCACATCTGCTTACATAAGCAGTCTGCCACGTGGC